GGCTATTGTGAATAGCCCATACAGCACCCCCTCAGTTCTCCTGAACCGAAGGGGTCCTGGGGCCGAAGCCAGCCGAAGGATCGGCCGAAGCTACGACCAGATCCTTCGGCAGCTTTGTGAATAGACCCCATAGTGTTGCTGGTGATATCTTGGATAGGAAACTCTGGCTGTTCCCATAGAAAGATTAAAGACAGACGGAGTTTCCTCTTATTAACATACAATGCTTCTAGATGTTTAACATTGTTCAAATATAGTTTACAACTAATAATAAGATCTGCCAGCACAGAACAGAGAGGGTAAATTATGTCACCATTATCCTTTCCACCCCCCTTGCATTCTGGAGCAAAATTCTGTTCTGAGAACTCTTTCAGAATAGAACATGACACAGCAAGTTATACTATATAAATGGGAACATGTGGCACAAAAAAAATAGGTGTTATCCCAATTTGGGTGCAAAAGTGGGAAAAAACTTTAAAGCCTACCTAAACCCCAAACAAAAATATATACTAATAATAATATACCTTGCAGTTTACCAATCCTGAAGTCCTGGTTCACAACTAGCACTTTGTAGCGCTTTTTCTGTCGTAAAAAAAAAACCGTCCAAAACAAAATCCCATTCATGTCTATGGCCCTGTTCACATCTGAGCATTTTGTCGCTTGTAGCAAAATGCCCGTCGCTGAAAAAAGTACATGAGCTTCTTTTTGGCAGATTAAGTGCTTCTAGGCCCCATGGACTTCAATGGAGATGCCCAAAATGCTAGTTTGCTGCGTTTCTGCATGCGTTTTATACACGTTACCTCTTTTGCATCAACCTGTTGCAAGCTGCTCACAAAAACACGTGATTTATGCTCATAAAAGCGAGCAAAACAAAGTGCAAAAGCGCACGTACGAATAAGCAAAAACACTGTCGCCTAGGTGTGAATCCTGTCGCCTAAATGTGGCAGCTGTAGTAGTTTTCTTTTTTTAGGCATTTTTCTTTTATTTTCACCTGGTGTTCCAGCTAGTGACACATTTCCTATCTTAGGGTGGCTACAATTAAGGAGGAGCAAAGGGGCCACCCTTGGATAGCAGCACTTTCAAATTTACAGTGGACTTAACTAATAAATTAAATCCATACTCAAGCAAACACTTTTTAAGCAGCTACAGCAACATTTGTTTGCCTTTGGGGATAAACATTTTAAATACATTAATAAAAGCAGACCACAGTAAGCACCCTTGTCAGTGTTAAATGGTGTGTCTGAACCCTCTATCTGACACTTTTGCTGGGTAGCTGGATCTGTTAAAGGAAGATAAAAAATAAGCGTCTTACTGGCTGGATCACCAGGTACAAATAAAGCAACAAAATCCTAGAAAAAGAAAACTTTTGCAGCCACTACAATAAAGGATTGGTACCTTGATGTCTCTACATACAATTCCCCTTTCATTCAAATTCCTTGTAGTCTATAAAACAGTAGAAGATTTTTTGGACGGCTCACCATGATGCCCTGCTCTAAAAGAGTACATTGAACAAAACGACTCTGCCTTCAAGTCCTCATTCTTTTAAATATATATATAGTTATATATATGTACTGTTAGATTTGGCTCATAGCTAGGACTGCAAGCCATGTTCCAGATTGGACCATTGCATCCAACATGACCTGCTTTATGCATGCTTTTATGTTCTTTATGCCAATGAAAGCACCAGTAGGACCAGGGCTCTACTGCTGGAAGTGGAACTGGTGGGTGGAGGACATATTCAGAAGACCACTTTTTTTACAAACTACATCTAGAGGGGGAGTTTAAAAAGGTATTTTAATAATTAATCCATTCATTGTAGACAACCTAGGTTAATCTCAACATCCAGAGTTATTAATTGAAGGGGCAAATATTAACCCATCTTCCCCGATATTAAACTGGCCAAAATCTCCACCCCCGTACACACACCCTGTTACTGCCCAGTAAGAGACATCATAGTATTGGCCCGTAGTGCTGCATAAAAAGCAGGAAGGAGGGGTGAGGTTCTTGACGAGGAAACATAGGAAACATGAATGATGTTTCCCTTCAATTCAGGGAACACCAGCTATTGCATAACTAAGGTTAGATGACATTCAGGTACTATACAATGCTTGTTGTGTAGTAATGGTGATAGTGTTGGCATCAGGTCCACTTTCTTATTTATGAGTACCCTACAGCACTATGCAAGTTCCCTGTATCTTCACTGCAGTTTCCCAGAACATGAGTGCCAGTTACATGCCTAACTTTATCACACAGCTACCTTATAGCATTCTTTAAGTTCTTCTTAGGGCATTGTGGTCATAATTCTACAATTTGTCATTGTCATTACATTAAATAAATCTCTTGCACATGTTTGCCAATCTCTATGTAGCTGAAGACTTGTAACAACTGAATATGCAACCTTTGGAGACTTCAAAGGAATACAGAACATATTTAATTTTTCTAATATTCTGTATATTTGTAATATATCAGATTCTCTGGGATATAACATAAGAAGCAAATACCAAAGCAAACAAGCCCTGTCATTTTCCAGACCACACAAGTTTGTTTATGTGGCATTTGCCATTCTGTCAGACTATTTCCTGCATTTGCATATTTTGCCTAATTGTTTTTGACTTTTCAGTTATTAAAGTTCACCCTGAATGTTTTTAATTTACTGACTAAATTGAAAATGTGGCCTTTATTTGTACAGAGGCTAGCTTATTTAGTTACTAAATGATAAGGACACTACAAATTGCGCTCAATTTTTTCAAATAAAGAAAGCACACACAGAATACCAGCAACAAGACAAACAAGCATCTCACATACGCCACATCCATACAAGTGCTCGTTTTGCATGTTGCCACTCTGTTTAATCAGTGTACAGTGTAAAGTTATTTAGTGACTCCCTCAACTATAGCAGGTACCTCTAGGTGCTGGAACTCTGCTTGGAGAGTAATTCCACCTTTCACTCGTAGATATTGATGGACCACAAATGCAACTTGGACACAGCAATAAAAAGCTTGTGAGGGGGTTCTATACTTTCCCTAAATTATTAACAAAGAACTTTCTATTTCTGTGTACCCATGAGAGAAATTAGAATAAATCTCCACAGTCAAAGAAACAAAAGTCTAACATAAGTTTTAACCTTTCCCCACTCTATCCAAAACAAATCTAATTGTGGCTTACACTTAAGATGAATCTACATATTTACAACATGTATGATATGTGTAAGTGTTTTAAGTTGCTCATAAACACTAATTGTGAGACATGTTTCTTCTTTAACTGAATCAACCCGACAGGCACCTATCTATTGTATGGCCTCAAGCAGACTTCCAGATAAAATCCACATTTAAAATAAAACAGCCAAATGTTGACTTGAAGGGCTGTTGAAATGTAGTAGATAATACATTCCAGATAAAGGACAATTGCTGGTTAAATATGCTTGATATGTTTTGAACTAGGCTTTAACTTAATTTCCCAGCAGCCTGGTACTGGCAGCCTGGTATTTCTGGTATTCACCAGAAGGACACTCCATCCTTAATGCAGCTTAGTAATACTAAGTCTGATAAAATCACAGCTTCTGTGTAACTGAACTCCTGCCTGCAGAGTAATTTAGCTGTTGTGTAGTTGAAACCTGATGGATTATGTTGAGGTACTAGTCCCCCAATTAGGTCCTCCTTGAATTTACAGTGGGAGGAGCCTTATGAGTGACGCTGAAAGACCAGTTCCCCATCAGGTCGGCCTTCCTTGTGATTGACAGTGGACGGTAGTGGGTGGATTTCATAGTCACTAGTGGGTGGTCTAGTAGTAATGGCATCTTCGCATTGCCATCTTCTCTCAATCGCAAGCAGGGGGGACCTGATGTGGAACTAGCCTCTCAGAATCACCCATCAGGCTCTACCTACTGGCTAGCAGCTATGGAATCTGCCCACTGCCACCTGCTGTCATTCACAAGTAAGGTGGACCTGTTGGGGAACTAGCCTCTCGGCATCACCCATCAACTGTCACTCTGAGGGAGGCCATACTATAATCTATAATTTTAAGCCCTGCATCATTAATTGCTAGGATGTTAACAGCTGCTTGTGCCTAGCAACTACAGATGTGGTCATTTACCGTCAGCTTCCTTATCTCCAAAATGGCGCTATATTTTATTGAATTTGTATCGGGAAAGTGTCGTAAATAAGATGCAACTGAATCTGTCACAGACATCAATACTATCATCAAAATTGTTACAAGGCTTTCATGAATTAGGCACAGCCCTTTCCAATGCAACCATGTCACTAGAAAAATGTTGCAAATCCTTTACTGAACCATGGCCAATTTGTCATAATGTTTTATAGCTGACAGAGAAATCTCTGGTTGCTTGCCCCTGTCTGACACAGCTCACATATTAGTTCTGGGGCAGTCTTGTCAGCTTTAATGTCATGCAGCTGGTATGCTATAAAAGGTAGAAGAGCAGGCATTTTTATTAAGGCTTCTCAGTTGAGCAACTTGAGGATAGATTATTTTGTGTACACATATACTGTCGAATCGAACAGATATCTTACCTTTTAAACTATATACAGTTAGTTTAAGGCATTTTACTATTTTGCAGAGGATAACCCTCATGTATTATGTATATTTTTGTTTTTGTAGTGCTGTTTGCTAATGTTATATCGTTCTGTTTCAGGGGGGGTATTTCCAAAGGATTTCTCAATCCTGCTGACAGTAAAGCCCAAGAAAGGCCTGCAGTCATTTATCCTGTCAATATACAGTGGGGAAGGAACACAGCAGATAGGCGTTGAGGTTGGCAGGTCTCCTGTCTTCCTTTATGAAGATCAGAATCGACTACCCTCACCAGAAGACTATCCCATTTTTAGCACTGTCAATGTTGCAGATGGAAAGTAAGTAATGCCTTTAAACTATGTCAACTAAAAGGATATGCCTGTAGACCAAAGTAATACCTGTGTCTCTAAAGGTCATAGTGTTCTGTACAGCTGCTTGTTTTTTTGTAACCCAGGAGTTGCTGAAACAAACCTACAAATAGAAAAACAATTTTTGTTAATAAAAAATACCACTGAATACAGATTAGTACATGATTTAATCCCTTTTCTCATACATGACAGAACTGGTGCTTGGTGAATTGTTCCTCGGTCATCCAGCGCCATCACATGGGAATGGGGAGAGGGTCTTCAGCCCACTTTAGGATCCAAGTCATAGCATGACTGATTATATAATTATATATAATTTAACTGAAGTTGTTCCAACCCCCTACAAAGTAAATCTAACAAACCGCATGAAACCCACTAAGAATTTAAAGTTGAACTAAACTCCTCAATTCTTACCATCCCTCCAGAGATGCAATGCCCTTGAGCTCCATCACCAGTGCCAATATCTTGTCTAGGTTTTATTCTTGGTTTGGCATTCTTGGCCATCCTGATTGTCTGGCCTCAGATGACGTAACTCCTGCACATTTATTCCTCCCTGCACCGAGGCATGCCAAGAATGTACACTGACCTGCCAAGCTAAGCCTTACCTAATAAATAGCACAAATTGTAAATCAGAACCAGGATAACAATATTTATATTTCAACCTTGATTTATATATGCCTTAAGGCAGAGCTCTGGTTTTTAAAAGGCTATGGCATTATGTTGTCAGAGAGGCTCTCTGAAGTACTGTATTTGACAACCTGTGCATGACAACCCAAGGTCAGAAAAAATGGTTTAAATGATGATAACCACAGATAAATTCAGCACCTATCAGTGGCAGACAGTGTGCCCTTTTTATAGACCCCCATTCACCTAACAGCCAAGTAAGAGCTTGTATTTACTTTGTATTGAGTGACAGCTCAATAGAAGTGAGCCATGTTATAGGCTTTTGTGACAATAGGGGCAGGGGGAGGGAGGTCCCAGCACCCATTTGACCCACATCTAGTACAAAATGGGCCTTTAAGTCCCAGAGGGCAGATGTACAGTATGCACAAATGGTATGTCTTCATCTCGTGCCCATGTGAAAAAAGAGGTTTTCCTTCTCTGCTTCTGACTGAGCTTTTATTCAGTATTATGAAATGTAGGGGGCCTGGTCTATGACCTCCTCAGTTTCAATTTTACACCTTTATTTCCCTTTTTAATTAAACTTTATTTTCTTACATCATTTTGTATCTGAATTATAGCACAGTTTGGCAGAATGCTGGAAGCTTTACTTTATTGCATATTTTGGATAAGTATTTTCCTATCTTAAAAAAAAAACCTTGTCTTAATAAAGCTATTCCAAAATATTTACATACCTCTCTGGCTATTTTAAATATTGAAGGAAGTGCTCAAAAAGTCTTAGCCTGTTTTATGCATTTGTTAATTAATAGTTGCAGACTTCAGTGCTCAGATGAATCACTGCTGTGTTTGTGGCATTCTATATTAAGAGCTTTTGCGGTCTGTTAACCCCAGGTGTGTTGGGCTGTGCTGGGCAGCCTTGTGACATGCAGTACTTTTTGTTGTTCAGGTGGGAAGTATCTCTTTACACCCACGCTGCGTTTGATTCTTGCTGCACATTATGGGACCTTTTACAGATCTGTCTTTGCTTTGTAGGTGGCACCGGATTGCAATCAGTGTGGAAAAGAAGACCATCACAATGATTGTGGACTGCAAAAAAAAGATATCCAAACCCTTACCGAGAAGTGACCGTCCTGTGGTGGATACCAATGGCATTGCTGTATTTGGGACTCGCATCCTGGAAGAGGAAGTTTTTCAGGTCAGAACGTAACACCCACTTAAAATAGCAAACTAAAGCATGTTTCATTACTTATTATCACATACAGTATGTTACTGAGCTACAAAATATCCTGGAATTATTCACGCCATTTAATGATGAGAATCGGATTATTGGTTTACCTCATGAATGCAATATTTATGTAACTGTAACAAGTACACCTCTTTAGGCAGTCCTCGTCTTTCATGCTGTTCTTGTACAGTATTCCTGCACTTCCAAATTTTTATATCATCAAGAGAGCCTCACATTGTGGGAGGTGTGTACTTGAGCCTGCTACTAGTTGTACTGACTGACCTAATTTCTTGTGATGTCCTAGTAAGGTTCTGTTTTAAATATACTTTGAAAAATGAATGAGAGGGCATGGCCCTCCCCAGGGTCTCCCCTAGCACCATGCTAACTGGTTAGGTTGGTCTGGTGTTTGGTCAGGTCCTACTTCACATTGCCTTCTGCTTGTCTAGTAACATAGGGAACTAAGAGTCATACTGGACAAGCACCCTAAGAGAAGACTGTTCAGAGCTGTATTTAGACATCCTGCTGCCCTAGCCACACCTGACTGATAACCAGGGTTGTATTTACTATAATGGTATTTATAGGCCACCTCTGAGCATTTGTGGCTATATTCGGCCTCAAATCTGTTGGTGTGGGGGGATAGCACATGGTGTAGAGAGCAGTCAAAAGGCAGTTTACAGTTCAGGAAACATAAAACCACCTCTACTTTCTCAATTTTGGTGGTCTGGCCCTATGCATGAGCCATTATGTTAGATATAGTCCTAGGACATCAAATAAGGGACTTGACACTTACATGTGTTTGCACCTGCTCTTTCACTGAGTTGTGAACCACCTTACTCCTATGTGTATGTTTGTTGGTGGTCCAGGCTCTGATACTTTCCCTATTGTTTTTTTAGTATGGTAAAGCTAACAGAAGCCCCCTGTTTTAAGCTTCCCATACATTCTGTGCTGGCTATGGTTTTGTTGTTTGACTATTCCCAAAGTAAGTGTTTGATTTGGTTAAATAAAATTGTGAAGAAGGAACAGGGTTTTAATTGGTCATAAAGTGGTTAGGTCTGTGGCCTAGGGAGATGCATGGTCAGTTTAAATACTACAGCAAAAACTATTAAAGGTTTTGTAATCAACAGCCCTAATGAGATTGTTATTTCCTGGTTATTGTGTTTGTTTTATTTGTAAACGACTGAACAAAGAACTAAGTGATAGTACTAAAGTGTATCCTGTACTGAGAAAAAAAAATAGAATGACATTGTGAAACTCTCTTTTGGAAAATTGTATTTTCTTGGCTATTTTTTTAATTTAAAGTCTTTAATACTTGCGGAATTGGAACAAGTATGCAGACCATAAATTCTGACTTTCATTTGGCTTTACTAGATGCATGATTATTTCAGGTCAGTAACAAGTATTGAGGCCAGAAACAATCAGCCACATCATGGCATTTTCTGAAGAGGTCAGCAATGGCAGCCTCTGTGTTGTTCCCTGTGCAGGTTAACTTTAACATGTACCTGTGGCCAGGCTTTAGAAATGTAAATATTTACAAGCAGTAAATAAGCTTTAATAAAAACCCTCCCTGACCTCTGTAGCTATAGTCACTGTGGAGTAATTTATCCTCAAACTTACTGCGGTACTACTGTAGTCCCTGTCTAAGGACTCACTCTGCTTCTCGCATCCAGTGGTCACTTGGCAGCTTTCCGGTCTACTAATCTGTAATGTAAACAGAAAATACTGCTCCACAGTGCTTGCACAGGTCTTGTTTAAAGCTCATTTAGGGCCAGTCCACACCAGTTGTGGTGCGTTCCAGAGTGGTTGCTGATGGAATGCACACTCAACTCCCCCCTTCGTTCTGGGGTGGGAGGGGGCATGGCGCTGCATTGACCTCAATGGCACTGCAGCCACGACCCAACCCGCAGTGCGATCGCACGTGTGGCAAAATATTGCCTGCGTTCCGGTCCGGTGCAGACGAAAAAAAATGCTACATGGTCTGGATCGCACAGCAATAGATGTGAACTGATTCATGCAGATAACTGTGTAAGAGATCAGCCTGAGAACCTTGAAGAGCCCCCTTGGATTCTAGGGTTAGGCTGTGCATGAAAACTACCCAAGATGAGATTCAACCCCATGTTTTGATCCAGGGTAGGTCTGACAGGGTGGTACTTTAAAGTGCATCTCTAAGCAAAATCTTGTTTTTTTAGTTTTGAAGTGAGAAAGGGCTTGACCCTCTGTGAAGTTTGTAGTGGTATCTGTATCCCCTTTGGGGACATTCAACCATCAGTTGATTATATCATAATTATTGAACATATAGTGCAAATATTGGGCAGACATACACAGCTGGAGAAGAGCTACGGACTCCGATGTGGTCACTGATGGAGAGGTGTCTGTGCGCTAATCCAAATAGCTTACACACACAGACACACACACACATTTTGGCTATACATAGGCTTTAACTACAGCTTTACATGCTTCATTGTCAGAAGTTAAGGGACTATTAAATTCAGTAAGAAACATGTTTCTCTCCCCTCTGCCCTAATAATGGACATTTATCACAATCCAAACACTCTCAGTACTGCTTTTATTTTGTCAGAACAATAAATCTATTGGAAGAAAATTTACCAACTCTGCTTAATGCTCCCCTTTCATAAAGTAATGATGCTGAGATCACATCTACTACATAAAAACAATGATTGGAATCTAGATAGCATCCAATATGGGTGTGCGTATTAGTTACTTTTCTGCTCAGTTTATAAATATCTTCTTAGAAAGATACCTCTTTGTATTAGAGCGATGCAGCACCACTAAGCCTGCTTGTACTTTGTATGCAAGCATCATCATTGTTTTGAACTAAACAGATTTATTTTTTCTTTCCTGTGTTCATTACTTATAGAAATAAATAGACTTTACTCTTCAGTTACTTGGCGGAAACAATTTTATAATCTTGACCTCTTTGAATTTAGGAGCATTTCAGCAAGAGATATTTCAGTGTAAATATTTATGAGTGTGTGTAGTTTATAAATGTTAACTTTTCAAGTAATGGTTTAGTAATTGCCTGTGCTGTACATTTTAAATGATCATGTTTCTCCAGTGAAGGGCTTTTGACCGAGTAGATCTGCAATCCTGCATTTAAAAGGTTATGAATCATTTGAGAACATGCTCCCAGTAAAATTGAATATTAATTAATAATATTGCATATTAAAATGCCTGTGATTCTAATCACAATGACACGAGTAGACTGATATTCTGCAGAAATTGCTAGCAGGCTGGCTTTCTCTGGCATTGATGTTTTCTAAGTCATTGGGGTTGATTTACCAAAGGCAAATAGACTTTGCAAGGGAATTTGCACTTTTCATTAGCTTAGTAAGTTGTGATTATTTCGTTGCACACGATCAGGTATTCTTTGCAAAGTAACATTTCTCCCCATTCACTCCTTTAGCAAGTGAATGCTCTATTTGCCTACAGTAAATCAACCCTAATGACCTGAACCAAACATGCAGCAAGTCAGGGGAAAGCCCAGAAGCCCTTATCTGCATACTTGGTTTAGGTCAGTGGCTCAAAAAGTATTAAAGCCTTTGTATCAACAACCAGACAATGAGCAGTTTTGAAAAGAGAGTTCAGTAATGGCAGCCTGTGTATTTTCTCTATACAATTATTAGGGCACCTTCAGATGGATAGTAAACCAATTCCATTCTATGTGTTCTATTTGATTAACCTAGGATTTACAGAAAAGTATTATAATACCTTTATTGAATAACCTATAACTGATCCAGATCTTTGCCTAAGATGTGATAAGACTCTGGTGCTGGGGATCTAATTAAAATAAATGCCTGAGGACCCATAAAGTGTGCAATCAGTATTACTCACTGAAATGTACATTGCAGCTCTGCGGGACACGTCAGTTTTTAGCTCCACCCTCTTATTTTTGTTCAAACTAATGTTTAATCATGATCACATGATTTACAAAGGTAATGGTGAAGAATCCCATGTGACCTCTGGCTGTGAGTTGCCAGCCATGCAACTAGCATATGTACAATGAGAATTCTGCAATGGCAGTATACATGTGTCTCTCTAAAGATTTACTTTAAAAGGAACCAGAATGTGAAAGCTTCCATTATTTACTTATTATTGACCATACAGACTACGTGGTTTTCATCCTTAGGAACTTGGTGCCACTGATTTGGAACAAGAATGTACATACCAGTGTCCCGACTCTTTAATGACCACAAGTTTGGAGGAGGGTAGTCACTCAATAAAGTGTATAATTGGTCAAACCTTTTTTCCAGTTTTCGATAGAGTAGGGAAGGGTTGAAACTATTATCAGTTTATTTTTTGGCTGTTTGTGCCTCATTGTGGAGATTTCCCTTTACTTCCTGTCCTGGAGATGCAATAGGAAGTGAAAGCAAATCTCCAAAGTTAGCAGAAATCCCCTTTTAGATTTTTGTCCCCATCGGAAGATTTACTATCACCTCTTGTTCAGATGACAGCTGTAAAATTTTAGATTTCCCATTTTTTGACAATAGCCATCAGGACAAACAGAGAAGGTGAATCAACCCAGGTGGCAATAAAACATGGGGGTTATAATCATTCCCTACTTTATCAAAAACGTTTTTAATAAAAAGGTTTTGGGTATGTATACCCAAAGCATAATAGCATTGGACCTTCCAAAAACAAGTCAGCAATGGCAGTTCACTAAATCTCGTTGAAATCTAATAGACTATGGGGTCTATTCACAAAGCTGCCGAAGGATCTGGCCGTAGCTTCGGCCGATCCTTCGGCTAGCTTCGGCACCAGGACCCCTTCGGTTCAGGAGAACCGAGGGGGTGCTGTACGGCTATTCACAATAGCCCGTACAGCTCCCGATACTTTGTTTTCTTTGTGATGCACTGTCTGAAAATGTGTTACTCTTAAGCTGCGATTTCATATTATATGAAGGAACTGGATATATGTTGTAAATGGCAGATCCTTGTGTTGAAAATGTTTTCAGA